CCTTGTTAAGAATTATCAGTAGTTTCCAATATTTCTTGTACCTGACTGAGACTGTTATCCTCGATTTAATATGTATCGTCGAGAGGTGCGGTAATTTCGCATAACTTTCCGAACAACAAGTCAAGCCATTGAATACGATCTCTCACACTCATTAACTTGCATTTCATTATATCAGGTACCTCACATAACGGTGTCATGTAATGGGGCTGTTATAATTGTAATTCATTGATGCCGCCTTATGCGTGTATCAGAAGAAACCTTCGGTCCCATAAAGTGAAACTCTCTGGCGCAGCAGTAGCATTGTTCATTGATTATTCATTAGTCACTGCAAAGAAAGTTGAGATCGGTAAATAACAAATACTGATAATTTGCATAAAGAAAAAGTTAAAGAAAGAAGGTCGGAGTAAGCCACTCAAAGTGTTCGCTGAGACGCCTTACCCATTTTCCAGCTGTCAGTTTGTGGTTACAAGTCGAGCACCCACCATATTTCATAGGTATTTCTAAGCGGATTCGTAATTCGCTTCTCAAAGACGGAATTCATAATGCAATGTAAGTCAAGAGACCATGTTCAGGAAGAAGTCTCTAACCAACAAAAAAAGGAGCAATCAGACCCATGTCTGAGTCGTCTGATGCGGTCGTATTTCTTCGCAAATCAGTTTTTGGCAAGACTGGATCTAGCCATACAAAAGTGGTTCTTAATCGTAATGAGCACGCTAGAAAAAATGCAGAAAGCTCCCGCCCGTTGAGGATCCAAACACTCTTACAGACACAGACTAGCATATGATCCAGTAGGCCAGCAATCTACGTTCGAACACTGTGCGTGTCGAGTTCGTGTTTGCTCCTTATCACAACAAGTACTGAAATTTTATAAATCGTAGCAGATATGGTAATACCTTCAGCTGGCGTTCGAAAACTTTTCGGATGATATGCGCCTCACACTTCGACCTACCATCCTTCCCTTGTTGGGCGGAACCCCTCGTGTGAACGATTTGCCAGTCAGTATACCCTCCCTTTCAAAAAGCGAGAAAGCGTCGGGTGCAGACCATACACCACAAGTGACGACGGCCTTCACAAAATGTAAATGTTTTCTGCCAATGAAATGATTAGCCTGTTGCAGTTGTATTCTATCAGTTGTCACTAATTACAACTATCATTTACCAAAAATCAGCTATCACTATGAACCACTACTAACCAGATTTACTTGGAGGCCGTCGTCAGTTGTGGTGTTTGGTCTGCACCCGACACTTTCTCGCTTTTTGAAGGGAGGGTATGATAAAAAAAAGATTTTGTCAAATTTCTCATATAATTCCAACGGAATCTCCTGTGAAATCACTTCTTCCGAACCTGGTTCTGAATTGTTGCTTTGAAATCGCGATGAATTCAACGACATCTTTAGCAAGGCTGAGTGACGAGAATTCTTGTCCAGCAATCCAATCACAATCACAGAAGGAATGAGAGGAAGAAGTAAAAAAAAAGCAGGCATAAACTGTGACCAAAGCCAAAGTAGTGACGGATGATATGCCAAATCTAGCGTATAACGAGGTCAAGAAATTCAAACGGATGAGCAGTCCTCAGTGCACAAGCTTATGGAAATGATTTAAAATTAAAGGGACCCTTTCCGTTTTTTTTAAATTCTTTCCCAACATGAATATGTCAATTGCGATCACAAGTTGAACGCAGCAAGATCCAAAGGGAACCAAATTTACGAATCACACTCTATGTGCAAAGGTAGGACACGCGGCGTCAAACGCGGAGCGTGGAATGAAATGCGCCATGATTTGGTCACTTATCAGGCGGCGCATTGAAAGAATTGATTTAGAGCATGGAGAATGGCGACAAAACTTTCGATAGCATAGGAGATTGGGCCAGTAGAAGGGTGGGTGATTTGGGCGACGTATATGTGGAATAGGCCAAAAAGTCAAAGAGAGTTTTTAGTGGCAGCACTTCGTGAAACTGTAAGCTTTCCCAGCCCCAGCATTTGTGACAGATGACCAGCGAGAGTTTCAACGCGTAGCAGTCCTTTCAGTATCTTGAATTGTTTACCAAAACAAATGATTTTTTTGTTCTTTTCGTTCTTATCATGAACGATGGGTCCTAAGCCACTGCTTTATGGGGGAGATAGAATCACGATTTTTCCGGGAATACTTCCGGAGAATTTGTCATCCATTTGGGGAAAATAAGTAATTGACCCAAATGCAGAGAGTCTTGAAGAAGTTAAATACTCGACATGATAGCCGAAATGTCTTTCTCGAAACAACAAGGTGGAGCAAAATAATGGAAGCAGGTGCAGGAAACGGAACTAGCGGTCAACCTATATCTCGTTCGTGGTATGCAAATAGTAAGAGAGTGGAAAGAGAGCAAGAAAGTGATAAAATACACTAATTATTAGATAAATTACTAATCAAAGATGTAGTAGCCAAACATGTAAACTCCCCTAACCATTTATTCTTTTTTTTCCATTCTTGGGCTGATTCTCGGGCGGATTCCCCTTACAAGAGAATGCTTTGAGCTTCCATGGAACTTTGAAAGAAGACCTGGGTTTATCGCGTCAAACGCGGAGCGTGGACTGGAAATCGCGCATGATTTAGGTCACCTTATCAGCGGCGCCATTGAAAGAATTGATTTAGCAGTCATGGAAATGGCGACAAAACTTTCAATAGCATAGGATGCAGTAGAAGGCGTGTGATATTGGCGATATAGTGGAATAGGGCCAAAAAGTCAAAGAGAGTTTTTAGTGGCAGCACTTCGTGAAACTGTAAGCTTTCCCAGCCCCAGCATTTGTGACAGATGACCAGCGAGAGTTTCAACGCGTAGCAGTCCTTTCAGTATCTTGAATTGTTTACCCAAAACAAATGCATTTTTCTGTTCTTTTCGTTTCTATATCATGAACGAGGTCTAAGCCACTGCTTTGGGATATGGATAGAATCACGATTTTTCCGGGAATACTTCCGGAGAATTTGTCATCCATTTGGGAAAATAAGTAATTGACCCAAATGCAGAGAGTCTTGAAGAAGTTAAATACTCGACATGATAGCCGAAATGTCTTTCTCGAAACAACAAGGTGGAGCAAAATAATGGAAGAGGTGCGGAAACGGAACTGCGGTCAACACTAGTCTCGTCGATTGTATCGCAAATGTAAGAAGTGAAAGAGAGCAAGGAAGTTACTAAAACCCCTTCTACACTATTAGTTATTAGATAATTTACTTCAATCAAGATGTAGTAGCCAAACAAGTAAACTCCCCTAACCATTTATACTATTTTTCCATTCTTGGGCTGATTCTCGGGCGGATTCTCCTTTACAAGAGAATGCTTTGAACTTCCATGGATTTTTGAAAGAAGACCTGGGTTTATCGATAGAATCTTGAAAGATGATTACAAACAGGGATTCTAAAAATGCTACGTAAAGTTTCTAGAAAGTTGTGGCCTTCAAAGTTGGCAGGAAACGGACACCATTTCATAAAACCACTACACCAACTGCCGACAAAGTAGCGACGGTGCATGTAGCCTTCCCACGCCCCCGATGCAGTAGGCGAGGACTTTTG